TTATTTATTTATTTTGTCCGTTTGTTTATATTTTCTACTCCTAATAGACTGAGCTGAGATATGCCACCCATGCTGCTCATGTCTGACGATGGCTAAGACTCCAATCAAAAGTTAAAAAATTGAATGTGCTAAGATCTTGAATTGAGTCGATGGGTCAAGCCTTGTGTCTCTTAGTGTTGTTGATGTTCTGTGTAGGGGGTCACCAGAGAAGGTGACCTGCTGCTGGGTCCCGGGTCTTCAGGAATGCGGGGAGGTCCAGGGATGTGTGCAATGAAGCTGCCTGTGGCCAGAGGGCCTAGATAGGCCAACCAACGTTAGGGACTAGAGCTACCCTGGAATCTAGGGAGTGATGGGGGAGCAACTCAGCCAGCCTAGGTCTCCCCTCAGCCCTGGATAATCCCATCAAAACAAGCCACCCAGTCAGCATCACTCATGGGCATCACCCTTGGGATAGCAGTAAAGGCATGCATTTGAAAACGAAACTAAACCATCAGAGAGGAGGAGAAGGGAGCTGTACCATGCATCAGTCTTGCCTAATTACTCACCCCAGGGCCTGACGGGGATGCAGGGCTCACTGGGAACCTTCCCCCCCGAGGGAAGAGGAGGAGGCTGGGAAAGTGGGAGGATGGATTCCTGACACAAAGCTTCAGCCCCGTAGGACATGAGAACATGATTATGAGAACATGTACTCTTCATTCATTTCCTGCCACCTGAACACTCACAGAGAGTCATAATAGGCCCTCAATTGTTGTGTATGTTTACGTAAACATAGGAAGGGGGACACATTGAAACAACATGTAAAAATGTTGATATGGCTGAGTAGAAAACGTTATGAATGTGTTAATGACTCTTGCGAATTAAAATGAGTATGGTCTAAAAGGGTAAGCACAATTCTAATTTGCTGAGGCAATTAGTGAATTTCCTGGTGATCGTTGATGCCTTCCTCTCATAGCAGGTGGCGGCAGTAGCATTTATTACGGTCATACATCACCGTGATTTATGTAGACTCCCCTCTTACTCTCTAACGTGCACATTTCCAGGCAATAGTGTTTCGTGGTGGTTGTTTTGGGTCCTTGATTCTTTCCATAATGTCTCATCCCGGGCTTTGCATGCCTGCTGAACAATAATAAAAGGGAGGAAAGCATTTAGACTGAAGAGCAGTAAATTCTTCTCACTACAGACGATCTTCAGGAGCAACATTCAAGTGGAAGGGTTGGGAACTGCAACCCTGAACCTTCCCACGAGAGGCAGTGACTTAAGGCAGGGCAGAGGATTATCCAAGACTAGGACGGTTACTGTGTCAGCTACGTGCACTTCCTTCACTGTGTGCATACTGGATCTTCCCAACGTGCTCCCGAGGTGGGCATTTTTACGAATTTCATATATTTCCCCCAACGGGGGTTCTTCCAGCATAAAGCGTCTGCCCAGCGCTCACATTGAGTGATGGCGGAGCCGCCATACAAGCTCAGAGCTGTGTGCTGTGCTTACTGGGCTTTGGAACCAGTGATCTCCTCTGTTTGGCAATGAACTTGGGCGTATCTTAGGGCTTTCTTAAAGCATCATCTTTTCCCATTCCCTCCATTGCTCTTCCAGGAAGCGATGAGAAGACAAGCTAGTAAATGCAAGGTTTTGAAATACCTTTCTGGGGTTCAGAGGTCTGAAGAGAGCTGGCTGGGATGGCTGGTAGCACTTCCGAGCAGAGGGCGTTGTGAATGTTAAGAGTGCTGAATTGGTATAAGGCACTGGTTCTCAACCAGGGGTGATTTTGTCCCCTACCCCCACCCCCAGGGCATGTTTGGCAAACTTTAGAAGCATTTTTGGCTGTCACAATTGGGTATGTGTACTCCTGGCCTCTAGAGGGCGGAGGCCAGGGATGCTGCTAAACTTCCTACAGTGCACAGGACAGCCCCACATAACACAGAACTGTTCTGCCCCAAATGTCACTAGTGCCGAGGGTGAGAAACCCTGGTATGAGGGGTTGCAATATTTCTTATATCTTTGGAAGCTAATTTTTTTTTTTGGGTGGGGTGGGGTGGGGAGGGAGGAGCTTTTAGCTAATTGATTATAACTCAGGGAGTGTGGGTTTAGAATACATACAGGCCAGTTGTCGACAGAGCCAAATATCAACAGTACGATTGAAATTTCTTTTGAGAGCCAACTTTTTAAATATTTTATTTTTTTAATATATTTTATTGATTTTGTACAGTGAGGAAGGGAGAGAGATAGAGAGTAAGAAACATCGATGAGAGAGTCATCGATCAGCTGCCTCTTGCACACCCCCTACTGGGGATATGCCCGCAACCAAGGTACATGCCCTTGACCGGAATCGAACCCGGGACCTTTCAGTCCCCAAGCCGATGTTCTATCCATTGAGCCAAACCGGATTCGGCGAGAGCCAACTTTTTTAAACTTAAACTTCTTCTAGTGCCACTTCTTCAAATCAGACTTGCTCAGGCCGAAGATCCACACTCAAGGGGCCAAAGAGCCGCATGTGGCTCTCGAGCCGCAGTTTGCCAACCACGAATATAGGCATATGAAACCGGCCGCTTTTGTTCCAATATTGACTTTTCCTCCGGTCTGAGTGAGTCACTGAAATGTGGAGGGTGGACTCATTTCACTGCCTTCTGTCTAACAGAGATGTCTGCACCCAGAAGGCAAAGGATAAGGGCCGGGAAGCTCCGCCCTCTGGAAGAAGGACATGACAGGTGAAGGGGTAAGACCGCTTCAGAGGAGTGTCCTGTCAGAAACACCTTCCCCTGTAGAGGATTTTTACAAGCTTATCGGAGCCAAACTGACCATAATTACCGGGAAGCAAAATCTCAACAGATTGAGAAAACGCTCCAGAGAAAGGCAGTTTGTTTTATATATCAGAACCAAAGGAGAGGGGTAAGGAGGGTAATGTGAAATCCACCGGTGGCAGATTAGGGAGGCGGAGAAAGTAAAGCGGGAAACCTCCGGGATTGGATAAAGAGTAAAATGGAGAAACACACACTGTTTCCACGGGTGGGCGTAAGGCAGTTAAGAGTGAACACTTACAGCACGTAGAGATGGTATTTGGGGAACAAGATAACAATGAGGGGTTCTGGGGTCAAGCACCCTGGTGCAGTGGGTGGGCTTTTGGCTCTGGCAGAAGAGATCAATATTCCAAAGGTTATCTCAGCTGCAGAAAGACAATAGAAGGGCTTGTTTAAGGTAAAGATGGACCCTTGTAAAGGGAGCTACTGGTCTAGGCTGTGACTACCCACCATAACCCCCCTTTACTTAGGAATTTTTATGTTCAGATCATCCTATGTGGCTGCTTTCAGTCTCTGAGTTTGTAGGTCCCCCTTTCCCTCCTCACCCCCATCCAGACCCCATGCAGGCCTCCCTTGAGATTACCAGGTTACAAAGATTCCTTCTCCACCCTCCACCCTCCAACTCAAGGTGGTCCAAGTTAACTCATTTCATTGACATCTTAATGCTACTAAAAATTTCATGCAACTTTTAAGCTTCTCAAATGTTTGTTACTTTTGTTATCCTGGTGAAAATCCTGCAACTACTAGCATATATATATATATATATATATATATATATATATATATATATATATATATATATATCGAGAGAGAGAGAGAGAGAGAGAGAGAGAGAGAGAGAGAGAGAGAGAGAGAGAAGGGAAAGGGAACTGTGGCCGAAAAAGCCAGTGTGGAAAAGGGTGCAGTGGGGGCCAGGCATTGCAGTGTGTCTGGGGAGTGACACTGGCGTGAGGGCTGGCGTGAGGGCTGTATTGTCTGACCCTCCAACCCCCAGAGACTGGGTGAGTTGGCCTCCTCGCCACCCCACTTCCCTCTAGATAGCAGCCCCAGCCCAGAAAGCAGGCGGCGAGGCAGCTCTTTGAACCAGGTCGGTCCCTTTTCTGAATGACTGGGACCCACAGAGGGGTCTGAACTCCCCGCTCCCCTTCCCCCAATGCTCCACAGCACCCCCAGCTTGGCCCGCGGGAGCTGTCCGCGGTGCTGAACCCAGTCTTTGTCTGGGTCCTAACCCCAACGTAGGCTAAGGGCTCAGGGGGTCCTGGGGAGGGAGGGGGCGAGGGCCGAAGGTCTGCAGCCAGCTCCAGGCTCTACATCTTAAATCCCCGCCGGGACCCCCCCCCACCCACGTTACTCCCTTACTCCCAGCCTGGACTCTCCGCAGGATCCACCGCTGAAGGACAGGCCCCTCTCTTCCTCCCACATCCCCTGGTGTATCTCCCCCCCTCCCCCCCACCTCACCTCTTCCTTCGCTCCCTCCTGACTGAAGCCGCACCAGGCCATCCCGAGAGCACTGGCTCCAGGCTCCCCTGGCCCGCCCTCCCTTCTCCCCAGCGGGACTCTCCGGGGCGCAGCAAGCTCCCGCCCAGGTGCGTCCACCCTCCCCGCCTTTTCTGCTTCCATCCTCCCGACCCTCGCCCTCCTCTCTCGTGGTCTCAGCCCCAAGCGGGAAGGTTTCCGCTCCGCCCCTGTTTCCATACAAGGGAGCGGGGGCGGGCAGAGGGGAGGCGCTCGCTCCCGGTCCCCCTCAAAAGCTGCGAGCCCACTGGCAACTCCTGAGTCTGCTCAGCTCCCGCGGAAAGAAAAGCAGGAAAAGCGAGAAGCCCGCATCGCAGCCGTGGGGCGTTGGTCCTTCAGGGGACGGACTCTCTCCCTCCCTTCTCCCCTCCCTGGAGCGCTTTCCCGCCCGCCAAGCCGCACTCAGCAGGTGAGACCGCGCTCCCGGGTCTTGAGCTCCTGGGTCTCGCCTGAGCGCATCGCCAGAGCCTGGGTGGACTAGAAGGAGTTTAAAGAACCGGTGCATGTGGAACCACGCATAGATGCATGTTTGCAGAGGCGGTGGCAGCGCTTTTAATTGTTACCTATTTTGGCCAGTGAGTCCAAAGCGGGGAGGGGATCTAGGTAATTGGGGAGGGGAGTGGTTGGGGAGGAGGGGGCGGATAGAGAACGGGAAGTGAGGCTCTCTGGTTTCCCTTTGTGCAGGTGGCCATGGCCTCTCTGCCGACGGCGCAGGACCCCTTGGCTCCTGACTTGCCTTCCGGACTGCCCCCAGCAGCGGCCTCAGCTCCGGGGGGCAACCAGAGCGCCGCAGAGGCCCCGGTGGGCAACGGGTCAGCCGCCGGCGCCGGCGCCCCGGCCGCCACGCCGTTCCAGAGCCTGCAGCTGGTGCACCAGCTCAAGGGGCTGATCGTGCTGCTTTACAGCCTCGTGGTGGTCGTGGGGCTGGCGGGCAACTGCCTGCTGGTGCTGGTGATCGCGCGGGTGCGCCGGCTGCACAACGTGACCAACTTCCTCATCGGCAACCTGGCGCTGTCCGACGTGCTTATGTGCGCCGCCTGCGTGCCGCTCACGCTGGCCTACGCCTTCGAGCCGCGCGGCTGGGTGTTCGGCGGCGGCCTGTGCCACCTGGTCTTCTTCCTGCAGCCCGTCACGGTCTACGTGTCCGTGTTCACGCTCACCACCATCGCCGTGGACCGCTACGTCGTGCTGGTGCACCCGCTCCGCCGCCGCATCTCGCTGCGCGTCAGCGCCGGCGCGGTGCTGGCCATCTGGGCGCTGTCCGCGGTGCTGGCGGTGCCCGCGGCGCTGCACACCTACCACGTGGAGCTGCCGCCGCACCGCGTGCGCCTCTGCGAGGAGTTCTGGGGCTCCCGGGAGCGCCAGCGCCAGCTCTACGCCTGGGGGCTGCTGCTCGTCACCTACCTGCTGCCCCTGCTGGTCATCCTCCTGTCCTACGCGCGGGTGTCCGTGAAGCTCCGCAACCGCGTGGTGCCGGGCTGCGTGACCCAGAGCCAGGCCGACTGGGACCGCGCGCGGCGCCGCCGCACCTTCCGCCTCCTGGTGGTGGTGGTGGTGGTGTTCGCCGTCTGCTGGCTGCCGCTGCACGTCTTCAACCTGCTGCGCGACCTCGACCCCCGCGCCATCGACCCGGACGCCTTCGGGCTGGTGCAGCTGCTCTGCCACTGGCTCGCCATGAGCTCCGTTTGCTACAACCCCTTCATCTACGCCTGGCTGCACGACAGCTTCCGCGAGGAGCTGCGCAAGATGCTGCTGGCCTGGCCGCGCAAGATCGCGCCGCAAGGCCAGAGCATGACCGTCAGCGTGGTCATCTGAGGCCCACGGCGCCGGGCCTGGGCTGGGGAGCCCCGTGACCACTGGTCCCCGAGGATGCCCACCGAGCCCCGGCTGGCGGGGGCTTGTTCCCAGGACCGGAGCTCAGCCAAGACGGGCAAAACTTCCAGCCCAGCAGCGCCCCTGTCCCGCAGCATGGCCTGGTTCCTCTGTAAAGCATTGCTTTGGTGCAAGTGCTTTTTGCTGGGGGAGAGGAGAAGGGATTTATTATTTTTCTCTTTATGCTTTAAAGGCCAAACAAAGCTCTTCGGGTTTAAAACAGTGTTTCCATATCATGGCTGCCTCCCAGGCCTTGTCTTCTATTTGCTCAATGGGGAGAGGAGAAGGAACGATGGGGGTTGGACTTGAAGTGACTGCGTAGGAGTTTGGCAAAGCTCTTCTGTTTGCCTTTCCAAATGGATGCGATTGTTAAGGCTGAGCTATAATACCTGATATTGCTTAGTGAATGCAAACCCATGTATTTTCTAAAATTGCAGGGAATATGTATAGCAGTCTACATCGAGGCTGGTAGCATTTCCTGAATAAGAAAGACCTTGATACGTCAGAAAGGTTTTCATTTGAAATCCACTTGCGTTTAGAGTACAACACACTTACAAACGACCTTTGAAAAGATCTTGCTGTTATGTTCCCTCTTCTCATCCTCGACTTTCATTTGAAAAATGATGAGATAAATTAGTTATTGAAGAGATAAATAAATAGGAATAAAGGGGGAAAGGCACCAGTCGCTTAAGGGGACAGGTAGCCACGCAGAAGACAGACATCCTAGCTGTGTGCATGTTTGTGTATGCACACCCAGGGCTTGCCACTAGGTGGGCACGCACCTGTTTCCTTTCCTGAACGTGCAGTGTCAGCTGCGGGCCACAGCGTGCTCCTGCGTTCTCCACTTGCTCGGCCGCAGCAGATCCACGGCCGTCTTCTAACCGCTCAGCACCTGCTCTCTAGTGACATGCTTGGAACATGATCAATCCAGATGACAAGGCCCGGGAGAAGTTTCCTTTAAGGCCCAGACAGAAAAATAAGCAGCCACTCCCAGGACCCATAGATCAAACATGCCGTTCCTTCCACACACGGTTAAGGGAACAGGTGAAGGCCGTTGAGCCACGACACCATGTTGCTACTCCTCACCTTACCCTCCTGAGGACCTTTTGTAAACGGGGACAAGTGCCCCAGGGCAAGGGTTTCCACACTGATGTTGGCACAGCGGCTGGGCAGTGAGGGCAGGAGCTTAGGAAATGACGCGTGAAATCCAGCTGTCAGATCAGCCCCTGCAGCAGACGGGGCCTGAGCTGTGTCTGCAGCCTCTCGGTCACCAACTGTGAGATTCCAGAGCCGCCACCGCTTACTAAGCAGCTGGATCAGTGTTCCCCCACCTCCCCTCCTCTCACTCTCAGAAAGGAGCCCATTCACTCATAAGGCGTTCCCTGAAAGGAAGGGAATGAGGAGGCGATTTGGGGATGGCAAGGATTCGATGCTATCACTCCAATGCCAACAACCAGGATGGAAGCGTGAGGTTTCGTGCTTGGGCTAGTTATCAATCTGAGTCGTCAGTAGTTATATGACTGGAGTTTTCGCAGCACGGGGAAGGGTAGGAAAAGCCTGGCTTGGGAGAAAGGAAGACACAGGTTAACTCGGGAGATGCAAGCTACCTTTGGCGACGACACTGACACCCACTGTCAGCTTCCCTTGTGGGTGTGGAGAACAAAGACCCTGTGCTCTCAGAATGTAGCCCTCCCACACCCTTGTGTCACTCCCCCGTCCCAGATGCATCCCAGGGACAGGTTCCTGTGCCCCCAGCGCTCCCATTACTTGTGAGGCTCAAGGCCACACATTTCATGTTTCCTTAGAGCCGTGGTCGGCAAACTGTGGCTCGAGAGCCACCTACGGCTCTTTGGCCCCTTGAGTGTGGCTCTTCCACAAAATGCCACAGCCTGGGCGAGTCTATTTTGAAGAAGTGGCGTTAGATGAAGTTTAAGTTTTAAAAAATTGGCTCTCCAAAGAAATGTCAATCTTGTACTGTTGCTATTTGGCTCTGTGGACCAATGAGTTTGCCGACCACTGCCCTAGAGCATTCTTTGGTTGAGTATGTATGGGGAGTGGAGGCGATGAGGGAAAGGATGGGATTCGTTGGGGAGAAATATGATGAATTGGGGCCTCTTTGTTGCAGGTTACATTCACTGCTGCTCAGCCCTGGCTGCTCTTAGAGTCACCTGGGGGAGCTTTTAGAAAACATCACTGCCGAGGCCCTCTGCCAGAGTCCAAATGATTTGAGATGGCGCTGGGCCTAAGTGGTGTTGTGGTTTTTTTTTTTTTCGTTTTTTTTTTCCTCCTCTCAAAGCATTTCACTTGCTTTTAATATAATCAGAGATCTATAGGTGTCCATTCAACAGTTTCCTTACAGATCTAGGTGTAAGGCATTGCATGAGTCCAATCAGATCAGCTGCATTATGAAGTTATACACCATGAATTATTCCAAATCCAGAAACTGAGGTGTTCCTTGATTAACCTGATGTAAGAGAGCCTGTATCAGCTGTGAGAAGGAAGTGTCCCAGTAATTATAGAAAAGCTGCCGCCTGCTTCTATCTCGCTTCCAATTTAAAACATTTTAACATTTCTATGGATTTTATGGAGAGCCTAAAGAGGTTGGGGAATTGTGTTGTGTTTATGAATATTTTTTAATAAATTAAGCCAATTGGCAAATGAGTAGCAACTAATTAATTCTTACCCGTTGAAATCTATTTGGAACTAGCTTGACTATAAACCAAACTTAAAAAAAAAAAAATCTCCCACTCCCGATCAGCGTGGCTCAGTGGTTGAACGTCGATCTATGAACCAGGAGGTCATGGTTCCATTCCAGGTCAGGGCACACGCTAGGGTTGTGGGTTCGATCCCCAGTGTGATAGCACGCCTCCAGTCCTCTTCCTGCAAGGACTCACCAGGCCATAGACCTGGGAACTGAGCCAGTCTGGCACTTGGCAGCAGGCTTTTCCCAGGCTGACGGGAGGTTCTGTAATCCTCTTTGCAAGCATTGTCACCAGGTCTCACTTTTGGCAGTCGGTCAATAGATTTATCTCACTAAATCGGCTGGGGAGTGTTTCAATATGTGTTGGCAACAGCTACCTAGAATTCGCAACTGTGAGAGATGCGAAGGTAGCAGTATGTTTATTGATGGAACCTTCCTGAATTTTGTTCTTGTGGACGTTCAGCCTGCTCTTCTACAGGGGTTGCTAAGTTCCAGGTTTATTGTCTCAGGTAGGCTAGTTAACACCTCTGTCCTGTGGCCTGCATTCCTGAACATGGAGTAGTCTCGCAAAGGCAAGGCACAGAACTGACATTAGGGGGACCTGGGAGTGAGCCCAGGGCCCATCCCCCCCAGGAGCATCTTTGTTCCCTAAGGCAGTTCCTTGACTGGTTTTCCTTCATGCGCTGATGTCTTTGCTATGTGTGTGACATGCATGTGTGGCTGACTCACTGTGTAAAAGCTCTTCAGGCTGGGGCCTGTACTGTGTTTGACATATTTATTTGGGTGCTCAATAAATATTAAGTCAGTAGCAGAGTCTTTGGTTGTGGGATTAATAAACCAAGCCGGTTACACACACAGTGTCACTGCACAACCCTAGGATGACCCAGGTTCAAGCAAGGATAAATCATGCCCAGAAAAACATGCTGCTCAATCTAGATTTGTCAGTTCCAGCAATTTCAGGAGGGAATTTGGGTTTTCTGTGAACCCCGGGACCCAACCTCAGTAATGACAGCATTTCAGGATATAGCACCAAGCCTTGTGGTCTCCAAGATTGCATGGAATAAATCCAGAGGCCCATCAAAGGGAGAGTAGAGAATTTCAGGATTATTGTCTATACCATCATGAATCTGGCTCATTATTTAAATGTTGGCATTTTATCACCCTCTTCCACATATACTAGTAACTTGGGAAATTTGAAAAACATTCAACACTTGAACCTTTGAACAAAATGTGGTCATCTAGATCCCAAAACATTCACGACAGGATCATAAGCAGGACTTACTGGTACTTCTAAAATAAAAGTTAAAAATGAATTTAGGTTCACCTTTCCAGGGATCCATGTATTTTGCTAAATGAGTTAAGCTAGACTACAGATGTTGGAAATGCAAAATATTTATTTGGGACGGATGAGCATTGCAATCTTGATCATACATCCTCAATGAGTCCTTGGAAGGAGAAAGCCTTATTTTGAATGGAGTGAGCACATTTCCAACAGGCTCTGCATGGTTCTCCTCTTCTTTCCAATTCAGTTCCTCTTCATTTCCCACTCTTTAGTTCTCTGTCCTGCCTCTTTTCCTCTTTCCCATATTATCTATGAAATACCTCCGATCAGAAGCTACGCCCACCCCGGTGAAGGGGAGCTGGTGAGATTCAAGCATCCATCTCCCTGTGGGTGCTTCTAAGGTGAGTCATACTGGAGAGCCACCCTGCTATTCTGTTGCAGAGGGTGGACTGCACCCCAAGAGTGGCGGGCTGCTGTCCTTGCATTTGCTGCTCACTGTGGTGTCTTGGAGCTCACACACCTGATTGTTTCACAGGTGACTGAGCAGTGGGGGGTAACAAGAGTTTGCACAGAATCTCTGCAGGGCCCATTATCTGACAAATCACCTAGAGAGCTCATAAGGCGGGCCTAGCAATGAGAGGTCAAATGTGTCTCCTTAAGCCAGAATAAGTAAATAACAGAGTTATTGCCTGCTCCCTCCCTCAGCTCTCAAAAAATCCTCTTCTTTACTTGCTGATGACTAAATCCTGTCCCCACCACCACCCCTTCATCTCCTTCTTCCAGAATGGCATCTAATGATGAATGGAAAGCTACACCCTTCCCTACCACTCACAATGAGTTATTGCCAAGTAAAAATAAAATTTGAGCTGGAACTATGAAGTGGGAACTGCAGGCCTGAGCTCGGGGGTAGAAGTTGGGCACTTGGCTTCTTCCCTAACCCACGGCACCAGTCGCCCTTGG